GGCGACCGGTTCAGGCGGTGAAAGCGATGAGAGTTGTGGTGATGGGGAAGCGGGGCAGGCGTGCGGGGAGGGCGCAGGGCTATGCTGGCGGAAAAGGCAGCCTGTGGGGAGAGGAGGGAAAGCAGGAGGTGCTGTCACAAGTACTAGGGATGAAGTGTTTTCACCTTTTTAGAGTCATTTAACCACAACCTTTTTTCTTTAAATCGTGATGTCTACTCTTTTGGGAAAAACAGAAGTGCTAGAAATTCAGGGGCAGTTCAGCACAGCTGTTGTGGGGAACACCCTCAGAGGTCCATGGGGTCTCCCACAGTGCTTAGCAAAAGTTACTGCTTTAAAGTTACACGTTTGGTCCTCTAAATCTGTTAAGCAATTCTGCACAAAAGATCATCTAGTCTCAAACTTAACTAAATACATTCTACATTGCTTTTAGTGTCATTTTTTCTAAAACTGCAGGAGAGCATCAATGAGGATCCTGGCTGGCTCCCGCCAGGACCCCCTGTCCACTTCCGCTCTGAAGGCAAACGTAATCACAGCAGCAAGTTGTGAGGAGGCTGACGTGTGCTCGAATCGGTTACGTGCAGTCTGGGCTTCAACTGTTCTGAATACTGGAGGTGGCCAACAGAACATCCAGCGGAGCACAGTGACACAAGTTTATCTTGACAGCTGGCAAAAGTTTCATTTCATGGAACCAGACTTACGTTTTCTACTGCTACCGTGGTACAGAAGTGCAATACAGTTTGGTGTGATAGCAGTGAAGTAACGTACCCTGAATTTAAAAATACAGATCGCAACATTTTATTAAGACAGTCAACTAACAGTTTGTAAAAAAAAAAAAATCCAACATACATAAAAACTCCACACCAGAAATAGTGAGGAATTCCCCCCTCCCCCACATAGACACTGCAATACAAACTTCAGTTTGTTTGATTTAAATTGGCTTGATCTTGAAGTGTAGTCCAATAAGACTGAAGACTAGACATTTAAGGTCCTGGACCAGGTAGTAGAACACTCGCAATCCTTCTGGATCCCTGCAGTGCACAACAAGATCAAGGAAGAAAGTTAGACTGATGTTTTGAGAGAGCAGTTTATAGACCTATTAAAAAAAAAAAAAGCCCGTAAGGAGACTTTTCAGAGGTCATCTTAGACATTAACAGATTTGTTTCATCCTGCATGGACTGACCAAACATTCTGCAGTACAAGTCTGCAAGTCTTAAGTCACGAAAAAACACGCATTTTTATCATGAAGGCAAGCAGTAACATCACTTTGGATGTAAAAACCACGATGTCCAGTCTTTTCAGCTTAAGTGAAATACAGAAGTCTTGGCTCTCCTGAGACTTTGGTGTGAGCAGGCCAAGGACAGTTCAGTTCAGGCTCTGTATACATCCATCCATACTCTAATAAGGGTTCCTACAGGAAAATTAGCTGCTTGGTGAGTTTGAAAATAAGGTGCATAATACCACAGCATGAAAGCTTTTGGTACATTTTGGCACTTGTGCTCCCAGGAACTGGTTTGAAACAATACAAAACACAGGTACCTAGTAATCAGCAAGTTCTAATACAGATCGTTACAGAAAGACGACTGCAAAGTATGAAAGCAAAGTACATACTTGGACTGATTTACATCAATAAGTGAACCGATTTTTGATGTGGTAAAGGAGATGTGCTCATCACCGATTACTATTTCAAGCTCCTAAAAAAGAAAAGATTATAGGAGGTCACACGACTGCTTCATGGTATTCATTGCAGAAATACTTAAGTACTGAGATGAGGGCTTTTCCATTTTTATTACAAAGGTACTGAATGCAGCTCTGTGAATCACCACCTCTCACGACTAAATTACCATTTAGGCACTGCACAGGTTTAAAATTAGCATTTATTTCCCTCTTGGCTTCCCTGTTTCCCTCTTGACAACATTGACATGAAGAAAAAGTTCAGTGGCACTTCTAACGAGCCAACATACAAAAACTAAGACAGCACTTAGAGCAGATGCCGCACACCGACCTGCCGACCAACTCTGTCAGGAGGAGGCCACAGAGCATCGTCTTCTTTCGTGATTTCACTGTCATCAATGATTCTTTTCAGCTCCTCCATCACGCTCTTGTGCACGTAAGCCTACAAACAAAAACCATGAAATAAAACCACTCCCAGGGCTCTGCTGTGCCGGTTTCCCACACGGCACCGGCTCCTGGAGTGTGTAGGCAGAGGCGCCCACCTACCTCTTTTCGGATCATGACATCGTTTTTGTAGTTGCTGTTGTTGGCGTAGCGCAGCTTCCCTGGCAGAGACAGGACGGGGGTTAAACCCCGGAAGGGACAGCGCTCCGCGGCGGGGCCCGCTCTCAGCTCACCGGGAGGCTCACCAGGCCTCGGCCTGGCCCCGCGTCCTCCCGGGAGCGGAGAGAGATAACCTTTTTTTCCTCCCTCCCGGTCCCGCCCCGCCTCTCACCGTCGGGCCGGAACTCGAACTCGAGGAACTCGTGGCCGAACTTGCCCTTATGCCCCACGTAGTAACGGAGATAGAAATCACTCGCCATGGTCCCGCCACCGCCCCGGCATGCACCGCGGGGGAGGGG